CTGATATCCTGACAGAAGTAAGAGGGAGCAAATAGGTTTAGGGATGGGGCGGGGGGGCAACTATATGGGTGGAAGCAGGAGTGGGCAAGGAGAAAGGGTTGCTGCAGAGACCAGCTGGAATTCTAGTATTGGCTAAGAATGTATTTCTGATGCCAGGGATGTCAGCTTCCTGTGTGGGCAACATGAATGTAAGACAATTTTTTACATTATATTCTGCAACCAGAAAGTGTTTGGGTTTACTTATTTTTTTCTGTTGGATCTCAGTGTAGCCCAGAGTGGCTGAACTGATTCATGTTTTACCTTGGTTTGGGGTTGTTTTCCCTATGGTTGTTTGTTGTTTTTTTTTTTTCTTTAGAGAGAATCTAGAAATATTCTGACTTGGCAGGTTTCCAATGAGGAGGGATTTCTAGCTTCTAGGAAGCCCTGTCAGCAGTGTAGGCTAAGGTGTTTTTTTTTCCCCTTGGTAAAATGCTGTGCTTAGATGGAGTTTAGACTGGTTTCTTTGGTGTGGCCTCTCTTGTGATGTTTTAAAAGATGAATTGCAGAGGTTTCACCTTTTGACTTCTCTAAAAATGTCCAGTTTAACTGGCTGACATGATCTGACATAGAAAGTTAAGTTGGAGGTGTCTGTCCTTCAGTCTTTGCTCAGTAGGCTTCACACCTGCTGTTTGGTTTTCAATTGAAATGGTTTTATGGACTAAATCTCTATGCTGATCCTTTGTATGTGTTTTTCAATACCAAACTGTGTTGGGGTTATCTGGAATAATTTTGAGAGATTTAGGTGGCAGATTGTCTCACGTTTAACTATCCATTTGATTTTTTTTTTTTCTCTGCACTCTCTGTAGACCATTAATACTGTATCAGAGGTTATTCGAGGATGCCAGATGAATCAAGACTACTTTGCCTCTGTAAATGCACCTTCTAATCCACCAAGGTAGAGGAAGAAAAGTGTTTAACTGTGTTAGGTAATGATGTATTGGTATGGGCAATGGCAGTCTAATCCAAAGGATTGTTTCAATTCAGAATTTAGGATTATCATACAGAGGAACAGTTACAAATTCACACTGGGTGTATGAGCTATAGCATGGAGGTGCCAGGTGTGTTTCCACAGAGATGAGCCCTGGAACTGATTTATTACATGGTACCTGAAAAGGGAATGGGCAATAGTTGAAAAATTCCTAGATTGGGATGAGGTGCCACTAGGAGCCAGAGGATAGTCCTGCAACAAGATTTAGAAGTGAAGAGAACAGGCAGGTAGAGAATTGCTCAGACTGGGGAACAGCAGTGAGATCTGAAACTCAACATTTGAATATGAGGGTGAGAGTAGAAAAAGACCATTCTTTTTTATGAGTTGCTGCAGTGGCCTTACCAGGCACCTTCCTCACTGAGCTGGCAGGGAGCAGCCAGGGACTGAACGGGGAAGGAAAATACTGTGGAGGAACTCTGGCTCACTGCAGTCATGTGGGAGTGAATCTTCTGGTTAGTCTTTGAACAGATGGAAAAACTTGAGTATTAAAATCAAATGTTTGAAATGGTAATAGATGCAGTAGGCAGAAGTCTCTTCCCTTACCTGGAGAATAACACTCCCTGTTCTGTATCTGCAACTGTCTTTGTTCACAACTTGGTCCTAAGTCTTTTTCTTTCCAAACAGGCCTGCAATTGTGGTACTTCTGATGTCCATGGTAAACGAGCGACAGCCTTTTGTGCTCCGCTGTGCTGTTCTCTATTGTTTCCAGTGCTTTTTATACAAAAACCAAAAAGGACAAGGAGAAATTGTTTCAACCCTTCTGCCATCTACTATTGACGGTACGCAGAGCTGGCGGCTGTGGGGAGCTGGGAGCTAGCACAGGTGTTGAATGCATCAGCTGCTGTCTTCTGCAAAATGACCTACTTGCCATTGAGTGTCTGATGGAAGCAAGACAATTTGCCTTAAGACTGATTTCTCCACAACTTTGGTTTTGTTTTTCTGGATTTTAACTCTCTGCTGATGTCTTGCTTATCTTGTTGGTTTGGTGGCTTCTTTTAATCTGACTTGTACCTCTTGGCCGTTTTGGTAGCTACAGGTAACTCTGTCTCAGCTGGCCAGCTGCTCTGTGGGGGCCTCTTTTCCACGGACTCTCTGTCAAACTGGTGTGCTGCTGTGGCCCTGGCCCACGCCTTACAGGAGAATGCCACTCTGAAGGAACAGCTCCTGAGAGTCCAGCTGGCCACCAGCATCGGCAACCCGCCCGTCTCCCTGCTGCAGCAGTGCACCAACATCCTCTCGCAGGTACAGCACCCACTGCCCCTGCCTGGGGAAAGCTGGGGTGCCCAGGAGGGGTGCTGCTCTGGGGCAGGTGCCTGGCAGGAGGACAGGAGTGCTACCTTCATGGGCAGGAGGGCTTGCTCTTCTGTGCATCAGGGGGAGAAAAGCAGCAAGTCCTGCTTCGTCATCAGCTGTTCCTGCTTGATGTTGGCTCCTCTCAGTAGGCAGAGGGTCCTAAAGCATCTAGAACTTAAACTTGGTTTAAAAGAGAAGGCAAAAGGTTGGGATCCCCAGTCACAATCTATTGCTGGAGAAGTGCCTGGTTAGTATTTAACCTGTAACTGCTTACTTGAAGCATCTTGAAAATACCAGGCTCTCGTGTATGGGTTGTTGTTGAGGTTGCTACTCAAAGCTAAAAGCTTTTCTGAACATGTTCAACATGTTAACACCTGCCTTTGCAAATGACAAATGGAGTGAACTTTACCTCCTAGCCCACACTTCCCTGTGGCATCTGCTTATTTTTTCCTCAAATAGTTGTAATAATAAGGAGCTGTGAACTTTGGCAGCAGTTAGGTTCTCCTGCAGTTGAGAGTCATGGCAGAATGCTGGTGTTTTGAATTTGTTCCTGTGACTTTTCACCTGCTCTTCCTGAAACAGACAGCTCTCCTTTTTTATCCTTTTCCTGGCATTTTTGTCTGAGGTAAATCCTGAGTCAGGAAAACTGCCTGTGGCTCTTAGGCCTTAAATGATACAAGAGACTCAAATTTTGGGGGGATGTTTCTGAAATGTGTTCCACTTCAAGGTTCTCAAGTAATATGTGTGTAACTTTCAGGGTGATAAGATCGACAGACGGGTATGTATTTTTTTGGCACAGCTTTGGCATTTTCTTGCCAAATGCAGGCCTTTTCTCTTGCCTTGGGTTTTGCTGGGGTGGTTTTCTTTTAACTGCTTTTTGATGTGTTTCCACTCACAGCTTTGTGTTGCAGCTGGGTTTGGGTTTTATCCTAGCATAACAAGCTCTTTCTGTGTCTCCAGGGGATGCTCTAGGGGTGTTCCACAAAACTGTGGGGTATCTTTGGTAGCACGGGTGCTTGCATTCCAGTGGGGTGGACTCACTCACCATCTGTTCACCTAACAGGTGTACTTTCATGTGAGGAAAGTAGGAACTGCTGGAAATGCTGTCTTCTCAGACTGGCCTGTAGCAAAAAGCTGGTAGAATCTGAAGTGGGAATGTGCTGCTGATTTCCTGACTGCTAAAAGAAAAACTGTTTAACCTGCCTTCTGGTCACTTGTTGCCTTCTACTTACCAGCAGAGGTTTTAACCTAGTAGCTCTTGGCTGTGAACATAGGAAATCTGATGGTTAGCTAATGACCCCTGAAGTGAGTGGGTTGACTTTCAGGCTGAGTTACTAAAAGGACTGCTAAGTCGTCTATCAGTGGCAGAAAAAACAGTTCTGAAGTATCACTGCTGTGGAATTGTTTGCTTTATTTACCTCGTGTCCACGTTGTCCTGAGGGCCTGGGGTTGTGCTGTTACCAGCCTTGAGCTGTAGAACAAAAGCCATGGAAAGCTGTCATCTATCACAGCAGGGGTTATTATGGCATATCTACAAAGTAGTTCAGTGTTACATCTTTTTTGAGAGAGGGTGTTGTGGACTGTGTGGAAATCCTTAGGCAGAGTATGTTCATTTGACCTCAGAATAGCATACAGTGCTTGAGAATCAGTGTGGTTTGCAACTGCTTCCAGCAGAGATGTGCTGTGAATGTTGGATCCCACAAGCAGAAGGTGTTTCTGACAAGCCAACTGACACTTCTACCAGTGATCTCTTAAGAAGCACGAGGTGTGCCAGCCTGCTGTGAGGGTGAGGCTGCCAGTTACAGTGGTTATTCCCAGTGTGCATGAACTGGCTGGTAGTTTTGGGACAGGAAGAGTCAGTATTTGTGAGGCCACAAGTGTTTCTAGTGTTGCCTATTCTGTTTGGAGCAAACATTTCCTTTTGTCCTCTTAGGAGAGAACTGACTCAATCAGTAATGACTAGTAAATTGATGTGACTGTCTCTGTGCAGATAATGGGTGTCATAGCCAGTTGGTCAGTAATTAGCCTGAGCTTTTAACTGCTTTGGACTGGTTCTGGTCTTTCCAAGTAACTTTTGTCCATCCCAGAAGGGTGAAAGCAGAATTGTATGAGTGGTTACTGGGGGATTAAATGTAGGCTGTCAGAAATTAAACTGGTTAAGTGTAGCCAAGCTCACTACACCAGAGTGGTGTGGCAGATTATTTTTCTGTCTGACCTTGTAAGACCTATGATGTGTTCACCTTGTGTCGTAATTGATGCTTCAGCTGAAAACTGTGGAGTGTGAACCTTACCCAGTGGGCTCTAAGAAGTGGTGAGACAGCTCTTTGGGCATCCTGTCTTGCTTTTGTAGGTAGACCCACCATCTAGCAAGTACCTCTGGAATATACTTTGCCATTTAGACCAGGACACAAGGTCACAGCCAAGCTGCAGGCAAACTCACAGGAAAGACTAAGCAACAGTAGGGCATGTGGCACTCACCATGAAAAGCAGCAGCTGGGTGTGTTCTCTGCTCTTCCAACATACTTCACTTGGGTCTCTGGAAGCAATAATGGGAAAGGGCTGCATGTTCCCTTTGTGTGCAGCATTAGGGGCTGCCACAGTCTTTATCTGTCATCTGGGTTCTTCTCCTATAAGGAGAGTGTTTCATCTTAGCCGTGGTGATAGGCTGCAGCAAATCACAGCACCTCAGATCAAGTCCTTGAAGACAGTCCTTTCAGAGCTTGGTGTTTTCTTCCAGAGTTGCTAGATACAATTCCTGTCTGCCCTGTGGTCTGCAGGGGCAGTTGGGTAGCTGGGAGCCTGCTATGGAAGAGCTTCTTGCCAGACTGCTGCTCACTGGCTGTTTTGATGGGCAAAATGGGAGACTCAAAGACTAAAGTGAACACTACCACTGCCTTCAGCTCTAAAGCACAGGGGTCATCAGAGGAAGGCTGGAAGTTCAATGTCTCCAGTGCAGATAACTCCCAAGCACAGATTCTTTCTCTGTTGCTGATAAGTACTTATCTTGTTTTGCCACTGTCTTGATCCCTGTGACCACTTGTGCTGGTGTATTTTCTTGCCCCTTTTTGAAGATATCCTGTCATCTCTGTATGCCTCATCTTGCCTCCCAGACTTGACTTCAGCTTCCAGTTACTTCACCTAATTGATTAGGTGCTTGTGTGAAGTTCAGTTTTCCATGCAGAGAACATGTTTGTCAGAGGGCACGTTGCCTTCTGAATGTTGCAAGGATGCATCCTGTTGTGGTGCTGCTGTGCCCAGAATGTCTGCAGCAGAGAGAAAAGGGGACAGAATGGAGAAGACAGTCAATTTGTACATGAAAACTGATCTTTTTCTAACAAAAACAAGTACTGCAGTTACCATTCCTTTTGCTGGCTTCTTGTGCATATTGTATGAACCAAAAGCCACTCTAGTATTATCTTTACTTACAAATCAGTAATAGGAACTCGTGGGCAGTTTTTAGTCAGCAGGGGAGGTCTTAGTGGTGTATCCCTTTTCGTAGGGAATCCTTACCTGACTGAATTTACACCTTGTTCCTCCTTCACAGGGGTTGTGTGTATGTTCCTTCATGTTACCCTAGTATTAATTAGAAATGCAGCACTAACTTGTTATGATTTTGTATCGGTGCTAATTTGCATTGAGTTGTATTTCACATCTGTGTTTATTGTTTTGCTGTGGGAACAGTTCAATATGAATGGTTTAATACTTGTTTTATCAAAGCACTAAAGCTGTGTTCAGTATCACTAACAATGGGGTATTTTGAAAGACATGACTTGTTTATAAATTGAGGTGAAAGTGGGTGAGTTTTGGATCACTACAGCTCTTTTTTTGGTATTTTAGTCCTCCAGTGGGGAAAGATAACTATGGGGTTTTATTCTTTTCAGGGCAGTAAAGTACAGACCAGGGTTGGACTACTGATGTTGCTTTGCACTTGGCTCAGCAACTGCTCCATTGCTGTCACCCACTTCCTTCACAATCCAGCCAACATACCCTTCGTATCCTTCACCTGCCTGCAGAGCAGAACTGCTTGCCTAGAAATTACTGGGATAATTCCTGTTGAAGTTGAATGTTTATCTAGATGACTTGGCAGGGTTGCTGTGTGACACACAACAACATGCACTGGGGCAGGAGCTGGAAGTGGCCTTGTGCTGACAGTGCTCTCTGTGCCCTGACCTGTCACAAGCCCTAGTCAAGATGGGCTTGTGAATTGAAGTGCAGAGGAAAGTGATGTCATCCTGCCAGCAAAGTGTATTTTTACTGTGATGAGCTCATTGATCCAGTGTGAACTGGCCCTTAGACCTGAGAGGTAAGGATGCCTCCTACTTATGTTGAAGCTTATTTGTGTGTTTGCTTTTCTGACTCAAGTACACAATGCTGAACTGTCACCTTACCTAACTTGAATGTCTGTTTTGGAACAAGTAAAGCTCTTTGGTTAAGCAGTTAATGAGAAAACAAATTTTGGAGGAAACCCCTGATTATCTGACACTGGTTATCAGACACTGATTAGTCCTTCAAAAGAAAAGCCAGCTTTGCAAGGGTGTCATAAGCTATTTTGCCTGCTTCCTAACCAAGCTTGGTTTTCCATGTGGAATTAATTTTAACTGGGAATTTATTCAGGGATGGTATGTTACATGTATTGTGCTTCTGAAATATCTCAAATATCCTTAACAAGAGCTCTAGCTCACAGGGCAGATAGCTGAAAACCTTGGAGAAGAGGAGCAGCTTGTCCAAGGGCTGTGTGCACTTCTGCTTGGCATTTCCATCTACTACAATGACAACTCCCTTGAAAATTACAGGAAGTAAGTATGATGTTGAAGTAAGAGGACTTCAATGGTTTTAAACTGGAAGAAGAGAGATTTAGGTTAGAGATCAGGGATAAATTATTCAGTGTGAGGGTGGTGAGACACTGGCCCAGGTTGCCCAGAGAAGCTGTGGCTGCCCCATCCCTGGCAGTGTTGAAGGGCAGGTTGGATGGGGCTCTGAGCA